AATACATTTTAAAAGTAACCTTCCCAACACTGTGTGTGGATCTCATTTTTCTCAGCAACAAACATCAGGTAAAAAACAAAAACAAACAAAAACCTGGTAATTCTTTGTTTTTACATCCATCAGATCCCAGTCAGCCTAAATAGCAAAGAGAAATTAAAAATGCATGCTATGAAAGAGTTCGGGTTGGAGGTTAAGTTAGTTTCCTGTTTTTCTAATAAATCTAAGTTTCTAAGTTTGACCTCCTGCAGTCGGCACTTCGGGTCCATTCCTGCCTGCTGCACACAGCCTTTGACACAAAGGAGCTTAAAAATATATCTCAATGTTGCAGTTAACCAGTCAACTTCTGGCCAAACATAATGAAACACAATAGAGTTGGATCATTTCTGTATGTGTGATGCTTTGCTCCTGCTTGTGGTATTAAATTGAGATGATCAACGAGTCAGGGTTGTGACAACAACAACAACAACAACAACAACAAAACGACTCTGATGTCATTTCCTTTGCTGAATTTTATTTGTTGCTTGGGTATTTCGTTACAGATCAACAGGATCACTCCATATACACAACTACAGGTACAGTATTTTGTACAGTTCATATTCAAATACATAGTTTTCATTGGCTTATTTACAAAAACACGTTTTGTTTATGTACACGTTTTCATGTCAGTGCAATGTGACTTTCTTCCAACGAACACCTTACAAAAAAGTTTATTAAATTAACACATCTGGTTCACATCAGACAGATATGAACTTAAATAAAAAAAAGAGGCTACACACACTGAAAGACAGCTCAGTAGTCGATTGCACCGCCTGACACACTGTGAACTAATCTTCCTGGGGGGCGGGGCTTCAGATGCTAGCCCGATGTTCTACAGAATCCGTGTTTGCCCAGTTTCAGAGAGAGTCCAGTTTCCCTGGGCGTCAAATCCTCGTTCCTGGGTTAGAAAAATTGTGCTGAAAGTAACCCCGACATGAAACATTTCTGCTAAGAAGCTACCGGCCATTTGAGGGCACAAAAAGAAAGAAGTTGACATCTATTGCACCTTTAAGTAGAGCAAACATCGCAAACTGAGCTCCTCAAGGGACAATTTTTCCTTCGAGTCCTGTGATAACCTTCAACCACAGACACAAACTGGACATCGTCTACAGCTCAGTGCAACGGCAGGAGGGTGGAGGGGAGAAGAAGAAGAGCTGGCCAAGCAAACATAAATAACACTCTTATGTACATTTCCATTTGTTCAACAAATGTAATCTTTGCAGAAGGAAATAAAGTTTCATTCAGTGACAGATATATCTCCAAGTACATCCATAACAAAGTCGTCTCGTCACAAATACAGCAGCTAAAAAAGGGAGACGAGGCTCTGCGCTCTAGAAGACGAAGCCGGGCGCCATCGACAGTCTGCCGTCTGTTCACAGTGATTGGACGGAGCCCCCTGACGTGACGGGAGCTCCGCCATTGCTGCTACAAAGCAGACACACAGAACTCTGCAGCTGGAAGCATGCGGTGAAAGCATGGGCTCGTCCGTCTCAAAGAGACCTCAGCAGTCAGGTCAAAGCAGCCGAACCTTCAGAGAAAAGGAGGAGCGGCAGCTCTGACTCGGCCCACAGAAACAAATCGTTTGCTCAAACGTTGGCTCCAGTCGTGTAGCGATGCATTTACCGTCCTCACGCAAACAGACTTTGGTTACTTTCCACACGTGAGCACATCTGTCTACGGGGGGCGTGGTTGTTTCCAAATCATTTCCCTGAAAACATCCCGGCAAAAGGTGAAAACGTTCTAAGACACTTATTTGATTTTTCTTAAAACTTTCATAGAACTTCCTGAAAAAACAAGTTTAAATATTTATTCATTTCCACCAGAAACCATCAAACGTTATGCCAGCAGCTAAGAAATGAAATCATTAAAAATGGACACTGTTGCCACTGCTCTGTCCACACTGACACGTCACTCGCTTTTGTTGGACACCCATCAGAGTTGGACTGGCCCACTGGAGGAAAAGGGGGAAACTGGTTTAAGATATGAAACACTAAGCTATTAAAATGAGATCGTGAAAGTCCAACTATTGAGACTGGGCATTAAGATCTGCTAGAAATACAGAAGCTGGAGTGAGACCATACAGTTTGTGTTGTGCTTTGATGGTACTCATTCACAAACATGTGGTTTCAGCACCCCTGCTGCAGGATGGGGGCGCCGCACACGGCTCTCCAGGCTTGATACCCAGAAAGGTGAACGCTTGCATTGGTGGTGTCATTCACAAGCAGGCTGCTCATGCACGAGGCAGGGCAGATGTGGCCAAGTGCACAAGCCTATGGAGGCTGTAGCCAGTGAGCTAGCCAACACGTGGTTATCCATAGATTTATTTTTCCCCCTAAAAATAAAAAGTGTTCCAGGAGCATCTATGATCACCTGAGCAGCAGGAGGTGGGACCACTGCAGCGATACTTCACTGCATCTTTATACACTCACACTTCAGGTTTTAGGTGTGCTGAGTGGCATTGAAGCCGAGGCTGAGCCAGAAACATGCTGTTAAAAGGAGCTCTGTTCCTATTACACATTAAAACAACTCAAAACTACAAGATGGAAGCTTTAAAAATGTAATGATGTGGAGTCAGAGAGAAGCGACTGACCAACCCTCTGCAGCCGCTCCGTTGGTCATCGCCTCTCACTGTGTCTCAAATGAAATACAAACTGTCTGACACAGTGTGTGAACTCTGACAGGGGAGAGAAATCACACACGAGTGAATTTATCGGAGATATTTGTTAGAAATCTGTCCGATCTATGAGTGCACGTCCGCACTCGACACTGAAGGAGCTCTTCCTTATTTCCTATCGTGCACACACTGGTGCAAAAGTCACTGCTCATATTAAACAGCATGACCTCTGACCTCACAGTCCAGGAAGGTTTATCAGGTCTGTATGAATTGACTGAGAGAAGATATATGAAATGTGATCGCTTCAGGGACAGAAGTTAAAACAAAGGTGCTTTTCCAACTCCACGTTTGCACGGTGCAACTAAAAGTACCTGAACTGTGAATCATGCAAAGCTGCTGTAGTTGCGTGAAAAAGAAAAAACCCCAACAGTGCAACATGTGTAACACTCGTGGTTAACAAAGGCCTCGCTGCCTCTGTGCAAAGTAGCCAAGGTGACACCCGGTGAAGGTTAGAAACACACCGATCTGTGGGACTCGAATGTGAGCAAAGTACAGAAGCCATATGAGACACAGTAATAAAGGCTAAAGTTGAGCAAATAAAAAAAATCTCTGGTTCTTCAGTTTTGACACTTTTAAAATAACAAACGGTAAAATAAGTAATTGGCTGTGATGGACGCAGGAAGTCCAGGTTCGGGTCGACAGCAGAGAACTGCAGAGGTTTGCATCAGCCCGTGGAGACGTGCCTGATGTCTACAGGTGGGCCTTTAGGCAGCCTGAAGCAACTCTAAGGAAAAATAAAAAAATAAAGCCGATCCTCTAAAACGACACATTTACATAATCAAACATAAACCGTACATCCTTTTGAATCATGGCACCTGTCCCAAACAAACCCAGATTCTCAGTCGTCGTGGCTACATACTGGTCAACATTGCACAAATCACCGTGGATATTTGGCAGCTGCAGGACCAAACACAGTTTTTGGCAAACGTGCCGAATTTGATGTGAACATCAGGACCCGTGCGTGTCCTGGAAGGGGAGGGGGGTCTCTGTGGGGGTGTTCCTGAAATGTATGTACCGAGTCTCCTACACTAAAAGGAAGCATTTCATGATATTAATACTGTCACAGACTTCTGGGCTCCGGTTGGCTGAAAGAATGCAGGAAGTGATGAGGTAGCGTATGACGCGTGTTTTCCTACTCACACTATCGCTAATAAAACCTCAGCAGAACCATTTGAAAGCTCGCCCTGGCGTCCGTCGTCTCCGCATCGCGTTGACCTGTGGCACTAAATGTGACTGCAGCACACAGTGAGCGCTGGGCCCCGTTGGCATCCGTAGGCCTGCAGGGACTCACAGCTGGAGCACGTCGGGTTTCCCTGCTCAGGTCAAATCGTGACTCTGGGTAGAAAAAGCTTTTGTTTTGAATCCTGACATCACAAGTGATAAGTGCACGATAAAAAAGCAACATCGCTGCATGACTCGGCCGTACTGCCGTACATTCAGAGATGCGTTAGTGTGCAAGTATATTTTACATCTATGTCATGGCGAGGATCACGGGGTGGGAGCTGACGGGAGTTCGTTGGGCTCAGCAAAGTGCACCGGTTGGGTGCTTTCACAGGGAGGGGCTTCGCTGTTGTCTTAGCGAACCTTTTCACCGATCCGTGTTTGCAGTCGAGTTTAGAAAGTGCTGCGAAGCAGCCGCAAAGACGGCGCGCGGTTCAACTGTCAGCCGTTCGTGAGATCTTCTGGCGCTTCCTATTCAGAGCAGCAGGCTGAAAGAGGCGAGCGGGCGTAGTGCTGGCTGATGGAAGACGAGCTGCGGTCACTGGAGGACGCAGTATTTCTTGTAGTCTGACTCAAAGTCTTCGTCCATGCTACTGGTGTCGGCCATCTTCTTGCCATCGATCTTTGGCAGGAACTGGGAGTAGTTGACTCCCTGCTGCTCGTAGAAGAGAATGTAGGCCGAGTCGGTGTCGATCTCCTCGGAGTGCACTTCCTGTAAATGAAAAAACAAATAAAGCGGAGTGTCGTTACAGCGTGGTCGCATTTGGGGTGTCGACAGAGCCAAACCTTTCCTTACATCACAAGAGTGAGACAGACTGCTGTCTGCCCGGCGTGTGCAGAGCTGAAAGAGGAGTGTGAGCAGCACACTGAGCAGCAAATTGAGTCTATGGAGGTCGTACTGGATGTGTGCTAGTTAACTAGTTACTTCGTACCTGCAGACAGTAATGGAGGTGTGCTGGTCCTTACCTTACAGCTGCTGTCATTGTAACAGTACCATTTCCCATTGGGGTTTTTGGCATATGTCACGTAGTGGCCTCCTCCCAATATTCCTGAATGGCACTGGAGAGATGAAGCAGAACAACATTCAGGATTGTCTGACTGTTCTCTAGGGCTGCCACAAACGATTATTTTGATAGTCGACTAATCAGATCATCATCCATTGGACGTAAAACTACAGCTTATTGCACCAG